TGACTATAGTTAATAATACTATAGTGCATATTTCAAAGGTAGGAGAGTGGGTCTTGAACGGTCTCATTACAAGAAAAAAATTTGGTTTTTAACTGTGTATGGTGATGGCTGTTAACTGGACTTACTGTGGTGATCACTTAGCAATATATACAAATATTGAATCATTTATGTTGTATACCTGAAACTAATATAATTTTATGTCACTGACCCCTCAAAAAAAAAAATTCAGTCTCTTCCCCTATAGTCCATTAAAATGGTAAAGTACATTGAAAACAAATTCTCTCCTCCCCTCAAGCTGCTGGAAAGATCCTTGGGCATGATAAAGTAAATGGCCAGCCTGAAGATAAAAGCCATGTTGCTCCTTGGGAGCTGGGGTGTGTACCAGAGAGGGGAGGGTGTCAGCAGAAGTCCCACTGAGTCGGACAATGGCAGGAAAGGAAATCACCCAGTTGCCCCTGTGGTTTTCTTCAAGGCTGGGTCTAGGCAGGCCTCCCCTTGCAGGGATGGGCTGTGCAGCTGTTCCCAGAACAGAAGGTAGTACTTCTTCAAATGCTTTTCAAAATATGCTCATAAGTATGTGTGTGTGAGCAAAACAGAAGCAGAAGTGGATTTAGATCTCCCCTATTCGATATTTGTATATATTGCTAAATGATCACCACAGTAAGTCCAGTTAACAGCCATCACCATATACAGTTATAAAAAAATTATTTTCTTGTAATGAGACCATTCAAGATCCACTCTCCTACCTTTGAAATATGCACTACGGTATTATTAACTATAGCCACCGTGCTGTACGTTACACCCCACTGACTTATTCATTTTATAACTGAAAATTTGTACCTTTTGACCCCCCTCACCCATTAGGGGAGGGGAGAGAAGGATTTAGATCTTAGAGGTCTTGAACATCAGAGCTTGAATTTTTTCCTAAATGACCTGATTGAATTTCAGAAAGATTTCCTTGGCTGCTATGTGGATTGAATTGAAGGGTTCAAGAGTAGAAAGATTTAGGAGTCCACTGCAATGGTCCAGGCTAGAACTGATAAGATCTGACATGGGGTAGTGGCCAGGGGATGAGAGGTCAACATTGGCCTTGGACTTGAGGAGGAGTGAAGGGACCAGAAATCTTGGTGAGGGGAACCAACAAAAGAAGACTTACTTGCTCTGTAGCCAACCAGGGTGAGGGATACTTTGCCCATATCTGGGGGAACAAGAGCAAAGATCCTCCCAGACAATTCACATCTTGGTCTTAGAGAGAGGGCTTGGCCAGGGTTTAGCTGATTCATAAAGTGCTAAAAGGGAAACAGAGGCAGACTCTTAGGGTACACACAGTCACAGAATGGGGGTGTTAGGCCCCAGTCCCAGATTTTCTGCAGTGGCCACTCAGTCCCTCCCCATTACCTCTGGAGAAGGAAGCTCCCTGTTCCAGCATACCAGCCTCCTCACCCCCACCCCCAGCCCAGGGGTACAGAAAAGACCAGTGGGAACTCTGGCCACAACAAAGCTACTGGAAGCTCCACCCAGATGTACAGAGAGAGAGAGATAAATTTGGAATGTACAAGAGGTGCTGGCAGAGATGGGGGTGTTGGACAAGGCTCTAAGAGGGCAGAGTTTCTGGCATCCTAGCAAACAGGGGTAGAGGTAGCTTCTAGTCCACTTCCCTCCCCTTCCCCATCCCAAGACCAGCTCTTTCTCATGGTTCCTACCATTCCAGCCACTGCTGCCCAACTTCTTGAACCTCTTTTTTTGTCATCAGTAGGGGAAGGGGAAACACTTGTTGGCTTAGAATCAGGCCCATTGGGTGGCAGCTTCAGAGACACACATTTCAGTGGCTCCCCAGCCTTGGATATGTATAGACCGGGGCTGACCGAGGCTGTTGAAAGATGGGTGAAGACTGGGCGGGAGATTCTAGGCTTCTAGATACAGACCACCAGGTTCCAGTCCAGTCTTGGGTACTAATCTTCTGTGTGACTCAGGCCAGTGCCCTCCTCTCTCACTGTTTTAGCTTGTTCATCTGTGCTTTTGTGATTAACAAGGTCAATGGCAGAGGCCAGATTAGAAACCAGATTGCAAGCCAAGGGCTAGTTTGCTGGGATTTGGCCAGTCAAGGGCACTCTTCCCTTTGGCCCTGTCCCAGCACACAGTGAGTGTTCAGTGGGCATGGTGTGTCCCCTCCCCCATCTAAGCTGCCTGCCCTCAATGCCCTTCTAAAATTCTTAACATTTTATTTGACTTCACTTCAGATCTTTTTTTTTTTTTAATTGGCCACACAGCATGGCATGTGGGATCTTAGTTCCCCAGCGACCAGGGATCGAACCCGGGCCCCCTGCAGTGGAAGCGCCGAGTCCTAACCACTGGACCTCCAGGGAATTCCATCAATGCCCTTCTAAAGGGTACTCCTCCTCCATGCCTGATGACTTAGGCCTTCCAGATTACTTTACCCAACCTCAACCCCCATGCCATCTCAGCACACACTACTTGGTCCTGGGGTATAGAACTTTATGCAACTATGGAAGTGTTCTATAATCTGCACTGTCCAATATGTGAGCCACTAGTCACACATGGATTTTGAACACTTGAAATGTGGCTAGTGTGCCTGAAGAACTGGATTCTTAATGATGTTTAATTTTAATTAATTTTAAAATTAAATTTAAGAAGCGACATGTGGCTAGAGGCTACCCAGTAGGGTACAGTATCAGTTTTAGGCAGAGTTTTTCTTTGTTCCTTGTTTAGAATTAAGAGTTGATGGGGGCTTCCCTGGTGGCGCAGTGGTTGAGGGTCCGCCTGCCGATGCAGGGGACACGGGTTCGTGCCCTGGTCCGGGAAGGTCCCACATGCCGCGGAGCGGCTGGGCCCGTGAGCCATGGCCGCTGAGCCTGCGCGTCCGGAGCCTGTGCTCCGCAACGGGAGAGGCCACAACAGTGAGAGGCCCGTGTAGAAAAAAAAAAAAAAAAAAAGAAAAAAAAAAAAAGAAAAGAGTTGATGGGAGTTACCATTTATTTAACACTCTTTGCCAATTTCTGCATAAGTACTTTACAGACACATCTCAGTGAGTCCTAGAAATTCTATTTTAAAGATGAAGAAACCAAGCCTCGAGAGGTTAGGTCAACTGGCTTCAGACTGCATAGCAAGTGGAGGGCCATTCAAGTGTGAGTCATTGCTCTCCAGCCATTTAGGGAAGTTTCCAGGACCCAGCCTGGGTGCCCTCCTTCTACAGTCATTCCACACACAGCCCATGGCTGTGCACCAGGGCCCAGGGAGGCTCATCACTGAATACTGATCAGTAAATGCTCTTGACAAAAAGGAGAGGGAAGCTAATTCCATTTACTCCCCATCTCCTGGTGACTCCTGGCTCCTGACATTCCACTTCAGATGTCTCTTCTCTTGCCTCTCTCCTGGATCACAGTGTCCCTCGGGTCACAAACTCAGAGTTCAACTGGGTGCTACGTGCAGAGGTTTGGGAAGAAGGTGTCACATGCAGGCCCAGAGGCCAGCTGGGCTGGGAGCTGGGGCCTGGAAAAATCCATGTTATTTTTAAACAAGAAAAAAACCCCAAAAACATTATATTAGCTTTTATTGAGCACCTACTTGTGCTAGGCACCTTATATAAATCTGTGCTTATAATTCCCTTAACAACCTGGGAGGTAGCATTATTATCACCATTTTACATATGAAGAAACTGAGGCTCAGTGAGGTTAAGCAGCTTACAGCTTGCAGATGAGTGGTAGAATCATGGGTGAGTGTTCCTAAACTTTCATTAGCATAGCATTCTTCACACTGAGAAAATAGAGGGGGTGGAGGAGTGGGCAAAGAGGTGCATTCTCTAGGCGGTGAGGGACTGATTCTGCTGTCCAAGCCATTAAGGGAAGCTGAGCCCTGCCCTGTTTCCCACCTCCCTCATCTGGCAAGCCACTCCTTCCCCAGACTCAGCTGCAAAGTCAGGAGAAACTCACTCTGGCTGAGGTTGCTTTTCTTAGAAAGGGAAAATGGCTAAAATGAAAGACCTTACCCTGTATGTATATTTGTAGGTGTCGATGTGCACGGTAGTTTTTGTGCTAAAGCACACCACTACCAGAATAAGAATATCGCTCCCTCCCCCCTTTTATTTCTATTTCTGGCTGCACCCCCCACTTGTGGAGTTCCCAGACCAGGGATCAAACCTGTGCCCCCTGCAATGGAAGCACAGAGTCCTAACCACTGGACTGCCAGGGAAGTCCCTAACATCACTCCCTTTTAAGCCACACCTCATGTGTGCAGAGAGTGAGGCAGCTGAGGAATCTGGAAAGGACTGTTTATTTCCTACTAGAGTCCCAGAGACATCACCTAGGAAGGGACCAAGTCAACAATCAAAACCTCAAATTTGCTCCCTGCCCTCTCCCTCCAGGCTTATGCAGCCTTGGAGGTACTGCACCAGGGACATACGGTGCCTCTCTCCCTCTCTCTCTCCCTCTCTCTCACACACACGCACACACACATACACGCGCACACACACATACACGCGCGCACACACACACACGTTCTTGAGTTAAGGCATCAAGTCTGGCCTGCATGGCTTTGCAAGTCTTTGCCCATCAGGCGGTGGCCCTGGCCCAAGGCTGAACCATGTGTGTACACAGATGCATAAGTGCGGTGTTAGGAGCTCTTCACAGATGAGGGACAATGATGATGGCTCTGTGCTAAGCCTACTCCACCTGTCCTTTGGGAGGGGACCTCCTCCCTCCTTGTCAGTTGGCCAAGTACCTCTGTCTCTTCTCGCCAGCTGGGGTAGGACCAGGTCAGCCACAGGTCAGGCCAGTGCTGGGGACTCAGGACCTGGCTTCCAACACTGAAAATGTGCCCTTTCTAAGTGTGGCTGGGGGCTATTTTGGGACCTTAAAGAGGATCAAGTCACCACCTCAGAAGGACAAAGATGGCCACTCAGGCCAGGATGGAGGGTGAGGTTTCTCTCTGTGCTTTTAAAACCCAACCGTGTTTAACAGGAAGAGAGCTGACCTTTCTCCTCTGTGCTCTCTTGCCCCCAGCCCAGGGAAGAGGTTTCTGTAGACTGGAGTGAGTATGGAGAGAAAGAGGGCTGTGCACTGGAGTGGGAGGTTGCTTTAGCATCTTCTCCCCTGGCCCTACAGGAGCTGGCTCCAGCACATTTACTTCAGTACCCACTTAGTGGGTGGTACAGAGGTGGGGACTTCCTGGGGATACCCGGTGTGGCTGCAATGCAGGGTTAGAGGCCTACACGAAGACTGGGGTTAGGGCTGTGGGGTTTCTGGGTCCTGGGCTGGGTCAGGATGCCCAGATGAAGTAGGCGACCTCGTCCAGGTCAACGGGGTAATCCGTGAGTAGCACTGGCGTCTTGTCGAAAAGCTCACCCTTATAGCTGCGCCACTTGCCTGCGGGCAGGTAGACGTCCCGCTCCTGCTTGCCTGGCTCCAGTACCGGCGCCACAAGCAGCGTGTCTCCGATAAGGAACTGTGAGTCGATGCGGTGCGCAGTCTCGTCGCCGGGCGCGATCCACCAGAGGGGGCGCACGATGGGGTCTCCCGTGTCAGTGACCTCACCAGCCAGCTCAAGCAACAGCGGCGCCACGAGTGAGGCCCTCAGTGTAGTGAACTTGTGCGCGATGGCCACCACTTCGGCGTCGTACCGCCAGGGTGGAACGGAGAACTGCATAGCTGGCATGAAGGCGGCCACTTCCAGCCAGCGCACGTAGAGCTCGCGCTCGGGCACATCGCCGCCGCTCACTGTGCGCTCAGACACCGCGTTGCCACCCACCATATCGGGCAGGATGAACGGGTAGCCCAGCATGCTGACAGTGAGCACGGCGGGGATGAGCGAGCGCAGCCCCAGATCGTAGCCCCACACCGAGTCACGGTCCACCAGGCGGAAGAAGCACGAGATGTTCTGTGACTGGTAGCCCACACGGACCTCGGCCAGTGAGAAGAAGGGCAGCGCCATCTCCGTGTAGCGCCGGCTCCATATGTTGGGGTCGGACAGCGGCCTGTAGGTGCTGAAATCCCGCGGCAAATAGCTGACCTCTCCAGCGTCGAACTTGAAGGAGGCCACGGCGTAGCGCGAACGCAGTTGCCGCAGATGCCCCTGAAACCAGTCGCGGGCCTCCGGGCGCGTGAAGTCGAGCACGGCGCCGATGCCATTCCACCAGCGCACGAGAGCAGGCAGCCGGCCCGTGGGTTCACGCACAAACAGCTCGCGTTCCACGCCTTCGCCAAAGCACGATGAGTTGTAGTTGACAAACGGGTGCACCCAGAGCGTGACGCGAAAGCCAGCGTCGCGCAGGCGGCGGAACATGTCGCTGGCGTTGGGAAACTTGGTCTCGTCGAAGTCGAAGTCGCCATAGGCAGGCGTGTACATGTCGTCGATTTCCAGATGGCTGCTGTTGAAGCGGTGCTGGCGGATCTGCTGAGCGAAACGCTGCACCTTGTCCTGGTCCACCGAGCGCCCGTACAGCACCCACGTGGACCAGATGGGGTCCCGGAAGGCCTCAGGCGCTGGCACCCTCGATGGCTTGTTGAAATAGCGCCGCACCATGTACTTGTGGATGGAAGTGACATCGGAGCCGACGCACACGCGGTAGCTGAGCTCGGGCGCAGCAGCGCGGCCGGCGGGCGGCTTGTAGGGCGTGTCGTGGTAGCGTGCCTGCAGCCGCAGAGAGCGCTCCGTGCTGTTCCAGCCCAGGTGGAAGGGCACTGAGTCGTTGACCTTGATGGCAGCCGCGCGCGACGACAGCCAGTAGCGCTCGAGGATGCCTCCAAATGCGGCGTCGGAGGAGTAGACGTCGCTGGTGACGAAGGGCTGAGGCTCCTGCTGGCCGTCCAGGCGGATGGGCCAGTGCTGGGTCTTCATCTCCGCGCCGCCGTACCAGTGCGCCCCCGCGTCGCCCAAGAACATGGCGTGCTCCACCGCGCGCCCCGGCGCCGCCTCCTCCCAGCGCACGCGGTAGCACATGACCGTGTCCTTGGGCCGCACAGTCTGGATGAAGAAGTGCAGCGGGCGCCCATCCGCTGTGCGAGAGCAGCCAAGCCGGGCGCCATCGCGGCTGCAGGAATCGAGGTCCAATGCGCCCGAGCGGAAGGCCAGGCGGAAGACCTGCTCGCCCTTCTGGTTGCGAATGGAGAAGCCGCCGCGGTTGAGGTCCAGCAGCTCGGCGCGCAGGCGTTCCGCCTTGCGTAGAGAGGCGCTGTAGTAGCACCAGGCCACCACCGCGGCCAACACCAGCAGCAGCCCCAGCACTGCGGAGCCCAGCAGCGGCTTCAGCTCTTTGGATGGCTTGGGCTTGGTAGGCGAGAAGCTGTCAGGCAAGAAGGTGTACATGGTTGCAGCTGCGACGACCTCGGGGCTCTTACGACCTGTGTGGCTCCCAGGGCGGCGGCGGGGGTAGGCCTGGCTCTTTTCCTGAGGATTCTGGGGCATCAGCCCCTAGTTAGGGAAGGAGCAGGCAGTGGGGCCACCCGACAAAGCCCATCTGAACTTGGCCTGCCTGAGTCAGGAAGGGGAAGAGAGAGGTGGAACTGAGCTTTCTCATTCCATAGTATTTACATTTGCTGCCGCAAGAAAGAAGTGTATATTTTGGGAAAGTGTATACTGGGACGTAAGGGCTCTACTCTTACCAGGTCGTTCTGTCTGCATTTTACCTACCCTTTCTCATGGGCCCCACTGCTTGCCCAAATTAGGACACTGAAAGGGAGGGGCAGATGATATTCATCACCATTTTCCTGGTGGAGGAACAAACCCAGACAGGGTCAGGGAGCTGTCCAGGATCACAGAATTAATCAGGCCTCCCTGGATCACACATGGGGGCAGTTCAGGCTGAAGAGAAGGGGAGGAATCTGGAGAGGGCCTGGTTTCCCAGAGATGTGGCCATGGTGGGAGATGGGGGATAAGCAAGCCAGCTCCTTAAGACCTTTGACACAGCAGGAGGCTGGCTTCCCTGTGCGGGGAGCGGGAGAGGAGAGAGGAAGGGGAACAGTTCAGGCATGGAATTTAATCTTGAGTCAGAAGCCATATTAAATCTGGAGATTAGAGAAGATACTCAAAGCCAGACTCAGTCCAAGGGCCTGGTTTGGAGGCGGGGCGAGGTTGGGTTTGGACTTTGGACTGGGGTCAGGAGCCTAGCATGGGGGCTTGGTGGCTTCTCACATTTGCCTCTCTTTGCTCTCAAACTCCATTCTGCTCTCAGCCATCAGGATCACCAAGTCCATTTCCCTGCCCACCTTCCTGCTCTGCTCCCAGCATCACATCTGTGGGCCAGCTACCTTATGGCTTTGTCTCTAGCACTCACCCACTGTCCTGTTTGCCCATACCCTAGTTAGAGCACTGTCATTTCTCCCCTGTATCGTTGCAACACTTCCCCGATAGGCCTCCCTGCTTTCAACTTGTTTTCTTCCAATGCCTTCTGCTCACAGCAACTATAGAGATCTTTCTAAAACACTTATCAGACTGCATCTCTCCCTAGTTTAGGGAGCTGCTCATGAGCCCCATGATGAAGTTCAGAAGTGTAAGCTTTGCAAATTGAAGTTCAAGGCATACATGGTCTCATCTGTCCTTCTGATTCCATTTTCAGCCAAGCCTATCCTATGACTACCAAACTCTGTTCTTTCCTAACCTCAGTCCTCAGGCCACCTGCTTTAGGAAATTTCACCCACCCATCTTGGGCCAACTTCTCTCCCCCACCTACCAGCTCTCTGGCAATCAGACATCCCCTACTACACAATCCACTCTTATATACTGTATGCTAAAGATTCTGATATGACTACAGAGAAACACAGACTTGGGAGGAGGTGTGTGTCCAAACCTGCTGTTCAAGGCTACTGACCCTTCCTGTCTCAGCCCTCAGGGCAGAGTCCAGCAAAGAAATAGCACCAGCCACGGGCATACACAGACATACACTGCCAGACTGCCAGCTGCTCATCTGCTCTAGCTGGAGGGAAGGAGAGAGGGAGATTGGCAAACAGTAATTAGACTCCTCCCAGATGCCAGTCCCCAGCAATTTCCAAGGAGACACCAGAATTGCTCAGCGTTCTCACTTCCCCCACCTCTCCCATGAAGAGATTATCAAGAATGCCAGGTGCCAGGTGCAGATTGGAATTTTTATCCCAGATGTCAACATACAGCTCCCCATAATGCCCCCCCACCCCAGTGAGGTTCTATCTCAGTGCCATATTCTCTGAGCTCCCTCCCCCCAACTCCCTAAACTGGTCAGTTCCAGCTGGTCTAGAACAGCCTCTCTTATTCCCTTCCTCTCATCCCATACAACTTAGCCTTCAAAATTCCCCCAACCTACTATGGACTTCCCTTCCTGTAGGTATAGGCTGGAAAAGCCTTCCTGGAAAATGCAGGCATAGCCTTTAGCTGATGCCCTTAAGCTAAGCAGGACCCAAAGAAGGCCTTAGGTGGCCCAGGCTAGACCTGCTGTACATTTATATTCAATTCATTCGAGGCAACCAAGGCCCCATTCTGGGCACTAAGGGAATAGGGAGAAAGGGTCCGTATCTGAGTAGGACAGAGATTGCTCATCCTCAAAACTTTCATATTGTCAGCCTATCTCATGACTCCTGGAGGCATGGCCAGCCCACCAAGGTGACCTCAAAAGCCTTTTCAAATACTTAGGTCTTGAGAATTTTTACTTTCTAGGGTTCTGAGGTTCTTTGATGAAGGACAAAAACCCAGAGGCCCTCTGCTGGTCTCCCTAATGCCACCATGGCATCCAACCCTAACAATAATGCTGAATAGGAGGCACAGCTGCAGTGCCCATTTTATAGATGAGGAAACAGTGGCCCAAACAGAAAAAGGAACTTGTTTGAAGTCACTTAGGTAGCAGGGTTACCTGAATCCAAAATCCCAGCTTAACCCTGACAGGGAGCTAATGGTCTGACTGTCTATCTGAATGCAGGAGAGAAAAGGAGCTTTGTGGCCAAGAGGGTGGGACAGGCTTCCATCAGGGGGGTGTGGGCATGGTGAGGCCTGTATTCCCAAGGGCTGGTGCTGCTACTTGCCCCAGGAAGGCTTCCTGGGGATGGGAAGTGGCGATTTTAATGGCATCTGGTACAGGGGCTGTGGGGGAGGAACTGTGGTTCTGGTGTTAACGGTGGTGCTAGAGACCTGGTGCTGCTACTTGCCCCAGGAAGGCTTCCTGGGGATGGGAAGTGGCGATTTTAATGGCATCTGGTACAGGGGCTGTGGGGGAGGAACTGTGGTTCTGGTGTTAACGGTGGTGCTAGAGCCCCCTGTAATCTGCTGCCTCCACCATCTGGCCAGCCACAGGCTAATGCTGGCAGGTAGGGTTTGCCCTAGCCAAGCCTCTCCCCACTTGACAGTCAACCTCAGTCTTGGTTTCCAGCCCCTAGCCATGTCTAAGGGGGAGGGTCGGGCCTAGCCAACTGAAGGGAGGCCATTCCACGATGGGTCCTTTGTCCAACACAATTCACAGGGGTAGGGTGGGGGGTGGAAATGCCAAAGGCAACTCTATCCGGGCCCTCTCCCCGTCCTGCCCAGCGAGCGGATCCGGGGGTATAGAGTGACTGAGCCTACAGCCTGGAATACTCTACACCCACTCCCAGAGCTGCAGCTATAATGTCCGAAAGGACAGACTGAGGTCAAGAGGGCGGTCGCCCGCTGGGAACCGCGGCCGAAGAAGGGGCCCAGGTGTCCAGGCTCGCCCCACCTACTCATCTGTAGGAGCGAAAGTTCAGGAAATATTTTCCCTCAGCAACCCCCCAAGGTCTTCCCGCTGGGCGCACTCACGGAAGTGACCCCAGAAGTGGGGGTGAATGGAGGCTCCTGCAGATCCCCTCCAAGTTAGCCGAAGTTGAGCTGCCACGGTGCGGCGCGGGGCGCTGACTAGCTGGGAACAGCTGAGGGCGTCCTCGAGCCCCGCCCCCTGGCTGCTCGGCCACGGCCCAGTCATTCGGTCTCTTCAAGAGTCTCGGAGTCCAGCTCCGCCCCTGGCGTCCGACCATCCTCCCACATTGTCACGCGCACTTGAGGTCACGCCCCTTAGCCCCCACCTTCCTCTTCTGTTCTGTGCCTAGCTCCTGGCAGCTCAGGCCCACCGCCAGCCCGGTGCCTCCCGGTTCCGCCCCCAGAGTGCAGGCCCGCCCCCTCTGGACCATTGCTTACGCGCACGCGGGCGGGGCTCTGCCCCAGGTCTGCTGGGAACTGTAGTTCTGGAGGGAGGTGCAGCTGTCGAATGTTAGGGTTCTCGCACCTGTCGGCTAAATTTGGGATGTGTATGAGAAGGAGCGAGCCGCAGGGTAAAGGGACAGAGCTGGCCCTTGGGATTCCTTTTCCTCCAGATTTGGGGAGGTTGAGGCCGTCTCAGTATAACGCTCTCATTAGCTCTTTTCCCATATGGAAAAAGGGTAGCGGAATTCTGGGAGAATCTCAG